CTGTTGTTGGGAGCTCCCCACCGTGGGCTCTCCACCATACTGGTCTCACGTAGCACCAATACTTGCTGCTTCTGCAGTGCAAACCCTTGAGACCAGAGGATGGAGCAGCTGATTTACCTTCAGGCAGGTGACTTTCCTCCTCTTCCTTTTGTATTTGTGATCAAACCAACAAAATCAAGCAATCTGGAGTCCTGGGTGGATCCTCTGTCATGCCCTTCTTCTCTCTCTATGTACATTATGTTTAGGCATAATCACCCTCCCATAAGGCACTGCCATTCTTACATTTTAATTAACACAGAATAACAAACTTGTAAACTCTGAGCAGATTTGATTTGGAACATGTTGATGCATTTGGCACCAGAAAGTGGGTCACTGATTATATTCCCTCTATGCATCTGGTACCTGTTGTTCCCTTTCTGCTGCCATGCCAAGAACACAGGTGCTAAAAATTGAACACTATTGCTCTGGATTTATATGTCTATACTACATTCAGTACACAACGTCTTAAACTTATCTCTCACCTTCTGATAGTGCTACTAAGCAGGATTATTACTTTTTAAGGTTGTGCCTTTTCCCAATAACCCCCCAAAAGGAATGAAGTCTTCCAAACAGATCCATGCATAAGTGAAAGGATAAAATAGAGAATTTAATCATAATGCTTGTGCATGGCTTTCAGACTGACATCTGTACATTAAGAATATGTAAAAGTACCAATTTCATGCTCTGACAGCTTATTTCGCATTGATGGGGGATAATGGGGAAAATGCCATGGGAATGCCAAATGTCAAAGCATTACATAATGCAAAGCATTCACACATTGTCTCTTGGGCCATCACCAGTGTCTCCTTAAGGGAAATTTTCCAGCAAAAGAGAGAAACAGAGACTGGGCCCTGCCAAAAAGAAAATCGAGATCATAAAGTCAAAGCTAAGAACTATTGGCAGTGCAGCATCAAGTCTTCAAGCACAGAGTCTTCTCTGGCTTTGAAATGTCCTTTTGCTTCTGTCAAAGATGAAATACACATAAATTCATTTCAGAAACTGCAGATAAGCCCCAAATGGTTTCCCATGGAGGATCTGAACACTCTTACCACCACCACCACCCTCTTTTAAATAACTTATTTTCAGAAATTGTGGCTGTTCAGAAGAGTAGCTTCTCCCCTTAATTCCAGGACCCTCAACCCAGGAATGACAGCAGAAGTGTTGTTCTCTAGCAGAGGCTGCTCAGCAGCAGGAGTGAGAGGAGTGCAGGACAATTACCTCCTCATCAGAGGAGTGATGTTATAGGTTTTGCCCTTAAAATGCTGGGGATTCTTATCTAATGGAATTGGGAGAGAGGCAGAACACTGTTGCAATTATTTTGCTCATTTAGTGAGAAAATTAAAGTGATTGAGGCAAGGAAACATTTTCTCTGACAAGGGTCAATATGTTGTAAAATTAATTCTGTCCTCGAGCCACCATGCCAGTGGCACTGTCAGTACTTTGATCCAGTGCCTGGGTAGTTACTTGCTCTGCCAGAGAAGACAGGTGGGCACAAAGCACACACTGCTGTGACACCAGTGCACAACATCCCTTGGTGCCTAATCTGTGTCCCTGTCACCCTCTGCAGACACTCCCTGCTACTCCCCTACACAGTTCCATCTTTACCCCCTCTTCTCCACCTCCCTCCGTGTTCCAGCTGCCTCCCACTCCCTGTGGCTCTTTCCCAGGTTCCTATATGCCTGTGCCTTTGGCCCTCTGCCCAGTTTCACCTGGCTGTCAGCTTTGGTGGCTTTGACTTCACAGAGCCCTTTCCCTCCCTCAACCCATGCCCCCCACTCCCCACATGCTCTTCTGGTCCTCCATTGACTCACACAGCTGAAACTGTAATTAACAAGCTTTGAAGCACTGTAGAGCTGGCTCCAAGGAGCTAAATAATTACACTCCCTCCTCTCTCCCGCTGCTCGGTTTGAAGGAGCAAAGTGGAGCACTGGGAGGAGGAGGAGTGGATCAGGTGGGGGGTGGGAATTTAATTAACTTCTGAAGTGCTCCTGTTCCTGCTGCAGACAGCTGAGGATGGTGATGGGCTGTGGCTCCAGAGGTTGCACAGGTCCAAACACCGTGTGGTGGCTGATGTCCCGATAGTCTGTGCCCAGACCCAGTGGCTTTGGGACCTGCACATCACTTCCACACTATGCTGAAGGGAGACACTCTCAGGGCACAGCACCTGAGGTCTGCCAGGGTTCCACACTGATGATTTTCAAGCCATTTCACTGTAAAGTCCATTTAAATTGCCATTCCTGTGACACAAGCAAGGCAGTTTGCTGATGATGAAATGGGAGGCAAGGTGGGAAAATGTTATCTGCAGAGGCAAATGTCAGCCACCTCTTCCCTGTCCTGGTTCAGCTGTTCCTCATCTCATGGCCCATCTCTGCCCTGCCTCTCCCTGCCTTCTTACCTAGCATTTCCTGAACAGTTTCAGCCCTCTTCAAGCTGCCATCTCTCCAGTATTGGTTCCATATGAGGCCAGTGCAGAGAGTACTGCCTGTTCCTGCCTGGTAGAATGGAGCAGGTCCATCTTTGAGCTTCAAGGAGGATGACTGAGGTTCATCACCTAAAAGTTTATCCCTTTTACTGGATCGGGACAGAAGAAAAGGGAGTTCATATACTCAGACACACAACACAAAAAAAAAAAAAAAAAAAACAAACCATCAGTTGCATCTTCTAGGTGAAAGCAATATGATTGTCAGGAAACAGTCTGTGCAGGTCAAAGGAAACTCCCCTGGGCACAGCTGACCAGAAGCAAGTACAGCTCACTTGACTTCACGAGTCCAGGTAAAAAAAAAGTCTTTGGCAAGACTGCAAAATTCGGCTCTTAAAAAGAAGATCTTTGTCCAAATAGATTTAATTAACCTCCTTGCATGACTATATTTTTCAATCACATCCTCAGGCTGCTTCACAATGGAAGAAACATCACCCAGTGTTTCCACCACGGCCAAGTGTCCTGAGATTTTCCTCAGCAACACTCTTGGACAGGGTGTCACCTTCCAGCTGGGTATTCTCCCAGAAATGCCAGGTGAAGCTGCATCTCTCATGAGCCTTTTCATCTCATAGCGTTGGTGTCTAGCAAAGTTAGAGGTGCAACAGCCCTGACACGGAAACTTTATTCATGTGAAATACTGCTGAGGCACATTCTGAGTGGTTTTTGTATCGTTACCCTCAGAGCTCTTTTGTGCCGTTTCCTTCAGCGTTTAGAAAAACGCTTTGGAAATAATCAAATGGAAAACATAATTTCGGGGTCCTTTCTGATGGCTGTTGGTGCCAGCGTCAGAGCCAGCGAGGGTCCTCTCACGCTGGGAGGCGAGCGGAGGCTGAAGATGCTCCGGCGAGCAGCATGGGGCTGGCAGAAAGGCGGCGCATTCTGGGGTGCCACCTGCCGGCACCTGGGCCGCCAGCTGACAGGTGACATCCCCGGGAAATGGCCCTCTCCCTCCCTTTCTCTGAGCACCTACAGGTTTTGGTGGAAAGAACGACGGTCTGCACCCGTCTCCTGCCATCTGGAAGGCGCTGTCCCCCAGCATTTGGGGCTGCTGCAAAGCCGCCTGTCCCTGCAGCACGCAGGGGATTTCCCGCAGGCTCCGGCCGGCTTTGAGCCGCTGGTTCGCCGTCCGAGCGCGGGGCAGGCGGCCGCCGAAGGGACGGGCGTGCACGATGGATGCTCGGGTCGCTGCACTGACAGGGCTTCTGCTGGGTCCGAGCGAATGGCAGCGGGCAGCAGACCCCCCGCACCCCTCCCCGGGGAGCCGGCGGCCCGCTGCCGAGCGAGCCCTGCCGCAGGCTCAGCCCCTGGGTCGGGAGAGAATTCCAGCTCCCAGCACAGTGCCCAGTCAGCAGCAGAGAAAGTTGCTCTCAAGCCAACTGCTCCCTGCAGCCTTGCGAGCCGGTTCTGGGCTTCAGGAAGATGCCTCCTGCCACCCTGGACAGCTCAGAAAGCTGAGAGCTGCGCAGGAAGAGGAGGCATTCTCCGGGAAGCAAGTGAAGTCCCTCAGCTAAGCTAAGCACAGCCAGGGATGCTGTTCAGCACTCACAATGGGATGCCAAAGGAGTGATACCACCTCATCTCCTGGCTACATGTGAGCACCAGGACCTCAGGATCTGTGCCAAGCTTCTCTCCCATCATGAGTGAATCACTGGCTCACCAAAGATAGCATGTTCAGGCGAGGTGGGGGACAGTTTGGGCTGGGCTCAGGTGTGCAGCAGGTGAAGCTTGTCACTCCTACCAAGAAACAGTGCTTAGAAGCAAAGGCAGCAGCCAGACTCAACTAGCTTGAGTGACAAAGGGGTGCAAGGGTGAAAGTGCCAGGGCCTGAGGATCAGGCCTGAGTCCTGCAGAATCAAATGCAGGCACATCTGTCCGCTTCTCTGCAGCAGCAAAGTGCCCTGCAGCACGGCCAGACTGGAGCTGTGCTATTCCCATCCAGGGTGAATGATGTCCCCTGAGCTGTGGTGGCCCTGGGGCAATGTGGGAGAGAGTCCCTTAGTTCAGGTAACTGGCAATGGATGGCTTAGAGGCAGTTGCTGACTTTTTGCTATGATGCCAACCAAAAGAACTTCCTTTCAGGGGCAAATCCAGTAAGAATGGGTTCTTGCAAGTGTAAAACACAACCGTAGTCAGTGGAAAATCCAAATGCTCTAATCTTTCTCCTTCTGTTTCTGTAAATAGAGAACTATATTTCCTGGAAATGCTCTGGGGAAATGTACCTGACCTGAGGTCTTTCTCCAAACATGTATTTTACACCATTTCAGTAGCTGCACAGTGAGGGCTGGTGGGGCAGGGCCCGGTGACCACTGTCCACCCCACCACCCCAGCCAGGAGAGGACTGTCCCATCTCCAGGAACCTCCCTGGTGAAGGGGACAAGCCAAGGCAGTGGCAGGATGGCAGCCTGCAGAGAGGGGTCAGGGTCACTAATTTGGGAAACTGAGGTCAGACACAGGCAGAGTTCCAGGGATCCTGACAGTTGCATAATGTTCTGCAGTTCCAGCTCATCTTTTAATCATCTTAACAGCATATGTTTTACAACAATTATCTGATATATTTGACTAGGTTTCATAACATCCAGCTCATCTTTTAATCATCTTAACAGCATATGTTTTACAACAATTATCTGATATATTTGACTAGGTTTCATAACATCCATTTAAAGCATTTAAAACATTTTTGTTTTGAAAGGTGCCATGATAAGATCAGAGCAAAGAAGGCTAGTACCAGGTGTCACAGCTATGTCAGGTTCCACTTGCTCTCTGTCAGAAGATAACACCTTCCTATTTGTGAGCTGGTTTTGTTCACTTCTTCCCAGACCTAGAGCCAGAAGGATCAGAGAAACACATTATTCTGCCTTTCAAGAGGCAGTTTTGCAGCCCACACATACCTGCCTGTGCTAGCGTTCGCAGAGGCAAATCACAGGTCATAATAATATACCAGTAATGTTGGAAATAGAGTACTAGCACTGCATCAAGGAAACCCCCAAAGTCTGAAAGGCCTGTAAAAAATGAGATGGGAAATGAAAGCTCTGGGCTCACTGGATGTGGCAGCACAGGTGTGTCTGTCTGCACAGGCATCCCTGATATCCTCAGTGCAGTGGGGCAGCATGGAGGGGCAGCTCTGTGGCTACAGGGCAACCAGGCACAGCACGGTCCCTAAAGCAGCACACACAGCTGGAATCTTACCCAACTCCCTGCATCTTCTCACTCATCCCCGTGTGCCTCTCCTGCCCCTCGGGGGCTCTGCCTGACTCCCTGCTGCTACCTGCTTGTCCTGGGGTGATTGTGATGTTAAATTGTATCCCATTCGTCCACCTAGCCCAGACACAGGTTTTGTATTCTTAAAGCTTCATCTAAGAGCAAAATTGAGTGGAAAAGAAGCACCGAGTCTGTTATCAGAGACTGTACTTGCTCCCCCCGCATCGGGAGTTTTGACTACAGCACAGACAGACAACAAGACACAGATCGCCTTGGCTTTCCAGCTAGCCGGAGCAGAGAGGTCTTCCTGGACTGTTTTCTTTCCCCTTTTCTGAAACGAATCGAACCTGCTCTGAACTGGGGACTTGGGGGAGCACCGGGAGCTTGCACCCGTGGACTACCGGGAGCCCAGCCTGGGCAGCGACATTTTCCAGCGCCAGAGGGACTGATAACAGAGCCAACACCCCAGGAAAGAGACCCTCTGAAGTTCGTCATCTCTTCTGAAGGGCGAGAGGTTTTGTAATTTGATATCGTTCATTCTTGTGCTGAGTAGTGCTGTGCCTGTGAAATAAACAGGTTTTTTCCACTCCTCTCAGAGAAATCTCTTCCCAAACCGGTTGGGGGTGGGAGAAAGGGGCCACCTGGATTTGCTTCCTGGGGAGGGCCCCATTGGAGGTTTTCTCCCAGATTTGCCCTAAACCAGAACAAATACAGTGCTGCAGGTCAGCCTGCCTGTTGCACTCACAGAAGCAGAAGCACACCACATGCACCCCTTTTGGCAGTATTAAACAAGATGTCTGTTTACATGGGCGACAGCTCCTCTCTGCTCTGGGTACATCCTTGTATGTGGAGGTCCTGGAGCTCGCCAGAGAAGCTGGAGCCCTGGTCAGGGGATCTGTGTGTGGAGCACCTGGAGAGAGGCAGTGTGTCCGTGATAAACACGCACACACCAGCAAGGGCAATCAGCACCAACTATACCACCGTGCTGCTCAGCAAGTGGGGCAGAGCTGTGGGGCCTAGCATCAGAAAGGTGAATCCTGTGGGATTTGTGCAAGCTCTCAGCTGAGGCTGGGCCTGCTGGGTGCGGGTGTGTCTGTAAAGTGCTGCTGGGGACAGCGGGCAGGAACAGCCGCTGGACAGAAGAGCCCAGCGAGGAGAGCAGGGCCTCGTCCTGCATGTAAGCACACACGTGTGGGCCTGCATGTTCAGCCACAGAGCCTTGTGAGGGCCTCAGGGCTGCAGCATCTCTGACATGGAGGTGGACCGATAAAGCTGGGGATGTCCAGCTGGAAAAAAGAAGGCTCTGGGCAGATTTTAAAGCCCTTTCTGACGTCCACAGGGGCTCCAAAGAACGGGAGAGTGACTTCTGACGGGGGTTGGAGTGACAGAACAAGCGGAAGGGATTCTCACTGGCAGAGGGCAGAATTAGATGGGATATTAGGGAGAAATTCCTCCCCACCTGGCAGGCCCTGGCACAGGGTGCCCAGAGCAGCTGGGGCTGCCCCTGGATCCCTGAAAATGCCCAAGACTGGACTGGGCTTGAAGCAACCCGGTCTAGTGGCAGCTGTCCCAGTCCATGCCAAGGGGGACTGGATGAACTTTAGGATCCTTTCCCACCCCGTCTCCTCTCGGATTACGCTACCCGCGGTGGCTCTGGCCGCTCCGCACACGGAGACGCGATCCTCTCACAGGACTGTGCTGCCGGGCAGGGCGCAGACCACACTCCTTGGTGGAGAGGCTGGCGAGACTCTGGCAAGCCCCGTCCCCGCGCACCCGATTTTGGGTAAATTCTCCCCAAAGCCGGGCCCCACAGCGCGCCCAGGCCGCGGGGACATGGGCGGGGCTATGGGCGTGCCTCAGTGGGCGTGGCCTCTGCGCGAGGCGCAGGGCGGGGCCGGAAGCACGTGGCC